AGAAATACGGTTTCTTGGGTACTTGTTGCCTTCTCTTCTGCGCTTCAAACCTGTTCTGGTGGCTGGCCGCTCCAGGCTGTCAATGCCCTGTCCCTCACTATCTGTATAAAACCCTTACCGCATATACTCATATATAAGCTGACTTTTCCAGCACATTTTTAATGCAGTTTTGTGGTAAAATTAGGCACATCGACTGATATTCAGGTCAGCTTATACTCAAGTATATACAGTAGTTTATATTCACCTTTAATCCTACCTAATCTTACTTTCTTTGCTTATGGGCTATATGAATGATTCACCAGTACTGCAGACATACCCGTTAAATGTGTAACTTCACTGCCTGTGTACATACTCTCGTTCCATCACAAGTTTAAACAAAATGATTATGAATTTCAAGATGGTGATGGTAGATGGTAAAACGTGTGGCCCTTCTGAGCACAGAGACCAGAAGCACCTTCAAAGAAAGGTTGGGTGATTTTCTTCTGAAAAATCTACCATTCATGTGAGCACATTTCTACTCTGATGCACGTGGACACCATGAATCAGAGTTGATCCAACTATAACTGTGTTTTTAATAATTTGTTTAAACAGACTTCCCTATTTTAATATCACTATTTTCTATTGATAGGAGAAAATGTGTTTGAATTTCACAAATATATAGTTTCTATTGTGTCAGGGTACCAGCCCCTAACACATCATCACGGGTCCGGTAGGCGCAGTTGTACAGTAATAATAAGTAAAGATTATAGTAAAGTCATAGAGAGCATGAGAGATAGAAGAGAGTTTGAAATAATGGAGTCAGACACATTTCATGGTAGCATGCTCACCTCAGCCTCACTTGGCGATCCACGTGGAGAGAGAGAGAGAAATCTTTTTTGCTAACAAAGGCTTTTATATTCTCTGGGGGCGTGCAAGCCCCCTAATTACAGGTGAAGACATACATCACAGGAAAGGGTTGTGCTATAGGTAATACAGTAATGGGAGGGGGGTGATCTAGGGGTATCCACGCAATAGGAAGAGGAGGTAATGGAGGCACACATGTGACAAGATGGGCAGATCCTAGATTCAGGATGGCATCCTAACTTTGGATGTCACTGAGCAAGTTTGACCTGTCCTCTGGCTCACTATAGGAACCATTATCAGTAGCGTGTAAACCCCACCTACAGGGACCAGATGACTGCAAGCCTTTAGGGAGAAGTAGCCCATTGTCCTTAACAGCAAGGATTGGGCCTTACTTGTGGTGGGACCAGACAGTAGTCTGGCAACTGACTGCCATCAGGGAGGTAACTTGACAATCATTCACCATTAACTGCAATCAGTGTCCTAAGTCTAACATATATTTGGGGGAGAAATTTTTGTTTCCCACATTATTGTACAATATACATTTTGTAATTTAGATAATGTGTTGGCTATTAGTCAGCAACTGTAACTTCTGGAAGGAGCCCTGGTGGTATTGTGAGTTGGGTTGCTACCCACAAAGTCAGCACTTTAAAACCGCCAGCCCCTCTTCAGGAGAAAACCCAGGCTTTCTGCTCCCAGAGAGCTTTAGTCGCAGTAACCCACAGGGGGCGTTCAACTCCATCCTGTAGGCTTGCTGTGAGTCAGATTTGAATTTGGTCTTTTTGAGGCTTGGAAAGTTCCAGGTAAGTGGAAATTATTCACCACAGAATGCTTGATGGATATTTGTTTAATTAATAAATTGAAATCTATACTCCAGAATATATTCCCAACATTTGGTTGTCCCTGAGTGTGCTTAGTGTTATTACTTTCTATGTATAGACATGATACCTTTGCCCTAATACCTAATTTTTAGTTTGAAATTTGACAAAGGTTAATGTATTAAGTTGTTTCTTAAAGACTATCTGTATTTGTCTTATCCAATATAAAGGTTCCCTAGTGGCATCGTGGGTTACCTCAAGGTCAGCAGTTCAAACTTAATAGCTGCTCCACAGACCTAATCCGTTCCTGTAAAGATTGCAACCTTGGGGACCATATAGGGTCACCTTGAGTCAGAATTGACGTGTTGGCAGTGGGGGGTGGGTATCAAGCATCTGCTTACCTGTCAATTAATTCTTCTGTTTGTTCATCAATTCACCTTTTTCCCTTCATATTTTTCACAAAGACTGTAGGTATAGTATACTTCACTGGTAAAAGCTTCATGGTGCACCCACAGTGTGTACAAATAAGAATGTTTTTGGAATATGGATACTTGAAAGTATACTTGGAACAGATTATTATCAGAAAAGTAAATTCTATCATTTTGTTTGGAAGAGTAAACAAGAAAGGGAAAAAGCAGATTATATGTGGATAATTCTTCGTTTATAGAGGATTTTTACAGGCATTATCTACTTTGATCCAAGTTATTAATAATAGTAGTTAACTGAACAAATTGCTTTGTGCTGGGTACTGAGCTGAGTTTGCCTTTAAAGATGATACTATGATTGTTTTCATTTTATAAATGAGGAAGCTAAGACAAGAGAAATTTATTACCTTTATAGGCTTGCACATAGAGCCCTGGTGGCACAGTGGGTTATTCCTTGGGCTGCTAACAGCAAGATCAGCAATTCAAAACCATCAGCTGCTCTGTGGTAGAAAGAAGAGGTTTTTTTATTTCCCGTGTAGCGAGAAAATGTTTTAAAAAGGATGATGGCAACATATGTACAAATGTGCTTGATATTATTGATGTATGGATTTTTATAAGAGCTGTAAGAGCCCCCAATAAAATGACTTATTAAAATAAAATGAAGAAAAAACAACAAGAGTTACAGTCTCAGAAATGCACAGGCAAAGTTCCACTCTGCCCTAGAGGGTTGCTTCTAGTCAGAATCACCTTGATGGCCTTGAGTTTGAGTTTTAGCCTCATACAGTAAGGAAGTGACAAACTTGGATGTAAGTTCAGTGCTCTTAAATGTTACACTATTTTGCTGCTATGCTTGAAGGAAGTCAGATAAGGAATCCAAACTAAAGAGGTTAACCAATTTGGCTTGTGCCCAGAGTAGAGAGAGAACTAGAAATCAGAATAAGGTCTTCTGAATGATTATCTTGATGCCTGGTGGCGTAGTGGATGGGCTGCTAGTGAAGATGGACTGCTAGTGAAGATGAACTGCTAATTGAAAAGTCAGCAGTTCAAAAACAGCAGTCTTTCCCAGGGAGAAACACGAGGCTTTCTACTGCTGTAGAGTTAACGGCCTGGGGAACCCATCGGGCCAGTTCTACCTGGAGGAGATTGGTCACTGTGAGTCAGAATTTACTCAATGGCAGTGAGATTTTTGGCTTTAGTTCTTTATCCTTGCACCAAAAGGTTATTATCTGACACTTTTAGAGTTCTTTGAAGATAAGAAATACGCTTCACTACTACCTCACTTTTACCAGGCTGGCATGAGCAGAAGCTATGAGCGAGCCCCAGACTGAGCTGTGGGTCCTGCTTTGGGTACATGTGCAGACTCGTTCCTGGGTGCGGCCTCCCTTGCTCTGGAGCTCCTTGTCCTCCCTCCTTGCTTTTGCTTTTGCTCCCTTCATGCTCTCTGCCGTCTTCTCTTTAGAGAGGAAGTGATGTCATAAGTAACTCCGTCTTCTTTCTCGTTATTAGATTCAAAATTCATAACAAATTCTTGATTTTATGGTCTCAATTCCAGATACCAGGAATTGTCTTATTTATAAATTGTCCTATTAAGCCATAAGCATTAGATCAGTGATTCTCAACCTTCCTAATGCCGTGACTCTTTAATACAGGTCCTCATGTTGTGGTGACCCCCAACCATAAAATTATTTTCATTGCTACTTCATCACTGTAATTTTGCTACTGTTATGAATCAGGGTCGCGACCCACAGGTTGAGAACCACTGCATTAGATCAACTTTTAATAGATCAGCCACCCAGTGTTTATTGACAACATGTCATTGTATTATGATAAATTCTGTTGGCACATTTGTATATATTTTTAAACTTCTATCTTTAATAGGTTTATGTCGGTCAGGTTTCTTTTAAAAGTTGAGGATTCCTTGGTATCAGCTCTTTTTCCCTCCCTCTGCCACCCTCCCACCCTCAGGAACCCTTAATAAATTATAAAGTATTATTATTTTCATATCTTCAAAAAAGAAGAGCTGATACCAAGGGCTCAAGTAGAAATAAAATGTTTTGAAAATGATGATGGCAACACATGTACAAATGTGCTTGATACAATTGATGTATGGCTTGTTATAAGAGCTGTAAAAGCCCCCAATAAAATGATTTATTTTTTTAAAAGTTGAGAATTATAACCTTTTTGAGTGACCATTGATGGGTAGAGGGCCCTGCATGTAATTTTCCTTTCTGCTTTTGTATACAGAGACATGCTAAATTCTGATACTTGTCATGTTTGCTTTTCAAATGGACTGATTTGTTCTCTTAAAAAATATTTTTCAGCCCTGTGCCTTTTAAATTTACATTTGTCAGTTATTGCTATTTTAAGACTAAAGTCCTCGATGTTTGATGGGTTTCTAAGGGAAAAAACATTTCTTGGGTGCTGTATTTTCACAGGTTGCAATTTATAATATGTATTTTAGCATATCTTAGGAAGGATTGCTGGAAATGTTCCTGTTCTGTTGGGTTGTCTCCCTTTCTCTTTCTGTTATCGTTTTGAGTTATCTCTATGAGTCAGCTTCCAATATCTAGTCTGTTGCTTGACTTTGAAAGCAAAATGATTTCTAGTGTTAGATCTACATCTAATAGTTAGGTATTATATTTATGTCTAATAGTTATTTCTTCTTGGACTATGAATAAGTTATTAATATCTAATGAACAGTAATAATCAATAGTAGTTACTAAAATTTAATTCAATTAATGCAGTTCAAATGCACCAGCCACTCCTGTCAAGATTACAGTCTTGGACCCCAGGGGGCAATTCTCCTCCACTCTGTGGGGTTGTTCTGAGTCGGGACTGACTCCGTGGCTGTGGGTTTTCCCCTACGTTCCTAGGTGAACTTTCGGATTGCTCTTTGTACTTTTGTCTTTGCTTCAAGATTGTCATGGATTTTAAGCACCCAGATGGTGTCACAGTGCCAGTTATGCTGCCTCGTCGGAGTCTGTTGGTGATGACAGGAGAATCTAGATACCTTTGGACCCATGGGTATGTACTGAGATGGCCTTGATCCCCTTTGCTTTGTGAGAGTTCTCATTCTTCTCTGCTTGAGCTGTGCATCCTGATGCTTCTGGGTTCAAATCTCCTAGTGGCATATTCATGGAGAGCGTTTTGTTAATCCTGACCTTTTATTTTGAAGAACCAATCAAAGTTACCGTACTTGCAAGCTACTACAGTGAACTCCTGTCACCGTTCATCTAGATTCACTAGTTATGCAAATGTTGCCACATTTTATTTCTCCCCCATATATTTCATTGCTATTATTTTGAACTAAATGTTTTTATTTTTCATTTTAAAGGCCTTTAAAGACAATAAAATGGAATAATCTACTAACACACACAACAGAAATGAGTCTTAACATCATTGTTAGGTCAGCAAAGCCAGACACAAAATAATATGTAATGTGTATGAAGTTCAAGAACAGATAAAACTAATACTGACAGAAATCAGAATGGTGATTGATTCAGTCACCTAACAAAAGGTGGGGAGGATTGACCGGAAGGTGATACAATGGGATTCCTTCAGTAATGGATATGTTTATAAAAATAATAATAATAAAATAAAATAAATCTGGACTGTGAAAAGAATTACCAAAAGTGATGTTATAGTAAGGATCACTTTTAAACCTTATAATCCACAGTGACTTGTGGATTCTTTATTTTTCAATCTTTGTTTAACATTGCATTTGTATTGCTAAATGTAAGTTGATAATATACTTTTTGGTTCCGTTCTCTATTGCTTTCCAATGTTGATGTTTTGGTCCTCAACTGGAATTTAGTCACTTAGATGTATTATAAAATGTATTGGTAATTGAGGAAAGTTCAAAAATGGAATTTAAAGATAATTGAACTGCAGGGGCAGTGAAATATTTAATGAGTTCTTCCAAACAAAGTCTCCAACTCCCATCAAAGGACCTTTCCCTGCATGCGTCAGGTAAAAAGGTGGGGAGAGATACTGAGAGGATTAACCAGTGAGTAGTGAGTAATTTTGAACAAGATCTGCTGTGTATAAAATGAGCCCTCTGAAAAGCAGGAGGTGAGCTCTCATTACCAGCTAGAGTCAAGAGTGGAGTGCGTTCTCAGGACTCCAGATCTCTGCACAGTGAACTTCCTGGATCCAGAAAGACAGCTGTACTATCAGAGGAGCAGCAGCAGAACCAGGAGCCAGAGCCTGGGACAGAGCGATGGACTTCCCAGCCCACGGAGCAAATGAGTGCTTGTATGCAGGAGGCTGACTTGCGGAGTATCGTACCTTAGAGCACTTAATTCAGGAAGTTGGACTTGCTGACCCACAGAAGTGGAGCTGAATGCCTTTGGGCTGTGGCTTACCAGAGTGGGACTGTGGCTTACCAGAGTGGGGCTGTGGCTTACCAGAGTGGGGTGCTTCTGGACACTTAATTCACTCAGCTGGGTTGGCTGACACATAGAGCTTAAGATGAATGCCTTCGGGCTGAAGTTTATAACAAACTTGACAGGACTTTGTTACGTGTCCTCATAAACAGTGCAGCCTGAGCATTTCTCACTGGCATTGCAACTTGCTAAAACTTCCTTAAGAAACCCTTCAATCATGAATGATGATTGTGAGTTCTGAGTAGCCACTGCAGCGTGGATGAGAACAGGGAGATCCAATAGAGAAAATCAGTAGAACACTGCCGTGAACATTTGGAAGCCTCAGCATTTTGTCTATTTCTCTTCTTAGACTTTTTATCTTTCGTTTCGTACTTTGTGCCCGCTCTCTATATTTTGAGGTTGTTTTATTAGGTGTATACAAATATATAGGATTTTTATAAATTACTGTTTGATTGACTCTGCTGTCATTATGAAATGTCCTTCTTTATATCTACTTATGCTTTTTGCCTTGAAGCTTATTTGATTAGTTTAACTGTACCACTTTTCTTTCTGTTTTGGTATATGCAAAATAACTGTACTTTTGTATATCCTCTATTCTGTCTTTTTATTTTCAACCATTCTTTGTTTTTATATATAAAATATATCTTATAACTAACATATATTTGGATTATATATTTTAAAATCTGGTGGTCCTTATTCTTTATTCAGGGTATTTAGTTCTTTTGCATTTAATGCAATTACTGATATGTCAGAGGCAACCAGCCACCAATCAACTGAAGGGCCAGTAGGCTCAATTGTATGGCCATAATGTATAAAGCTTATAGTAAAGTCATAGAGGATAGGAAAGTTAGGAGGGAGAGTAAAATAAAGGAGTCAGACACATTTTATGGTAGCATGCTCACCTCAGCTCCTCTTGATGGACCACAAGGAACTGGGAGAAGAGAGGGTGAACCTTTACTATCTTGGGACATTTATAGGTAGCCAAAAGACATGATATTCAATAGTTACATGAGTCGCAACTTGGGTGGTATCTACATTAAGGTCCCTGAGCTCATAGGTGAAATCTAATACTTGTATTGGGGGAAAGTATGAGGAGGGTTGGGTGACAGGCGGGGAGTGAGAAAAGGATGTCTGCTTCTGTAGGGAGACGTCATTAACCGCAGCAGAGCTGTGAAGGAGAGGATCTGGAGTATGTAAGCAGGATAACGTACTTGGACTTTATCTCTTACTTACCAACGTGGAGACTTTCCTACCGTGGAATACTAGCTTTCCAGATTCCCTCTAACTTGGGGGATATAGTCCTTATCATATTTCCCTCTGTGTTAGTATCCTACAATGATACTGTTTTGTTTTATTACTTTAAAAAAAAAATCATTTTATTGGGAGCTCTTACAGATATAACATCCCATAGTTCCGTCACATCAAGCAGTATTGTACAATCACTACCACAGTCAGTTTCAAAACATTTTCATTCTTCTTGAACTCCTTGATATCAGTTCCCCTTTCTCCCCTCCTTGGGGTTTAATTCACAATTTATTCTCCCTCTGTCCCAGCTGTTCTTCCTCCTCCCTTGAAATTGAAGTATTTGTTATCCGATAGTCACCTTACTCTCAATATTATTACCCTGGAATATAAGTTTCCTAAGGTGGGTACTTGACTTTCTTTACTTTTTTTTTCCACAACACCTAATGAATCTAACAATATTTGCAGTAAATTCTCCCAGATTTGTACTGTTCCCTTAATATTTTTCAAAGAGCTAAACTTTTTTTCCCCGTGTACAGTATTAAACTCATTTTTTTCTGTGTACAGCATTAAACTCATTATTTTTTGGTTTTAGGATCACACCTAGAAAATTTGATACCGTTCCTGCATCTGAGAGCCACAAAAGTGGGGTTATCGTCAGTGATGTTGGGGACCTCACTTTAAACAAGAGGGGAGCACGAACATCATTCACATTTAGGAAAGTGAGACAAGCATCTTGCCATTGCAGTAAGTGTGCAATGTGGTATCTACTGCAGAATGAAGTAACAATCTAGCTTGCAAAGCATTTGAAGTCACGCCAAACTTTCTTGTACTTCTCTGATTGCATTGCTCATTTTCTGCCTTCATGGAAGTTTCTCACTAGAGTTTATACACCTGGAAGAAAGGGGCTCGCTTTTCTTTGTTTCTTTTTCCTCGACTGAGTGCTGGGTCACATTTCATTATTTAGATGCTGTATTTATTGATCTCACAGTTGAGAGTGTTATAATTATAGGACAATGAAGTATCACTTGTGCACAAGTAGGTCTTTTGGAAACAATTTGTCAAAATTACTTCTCATTAACCCTACCAAGAGGTTTGAGATGACAAATTGATAATCACGTTAAGAGAATAAACAACAGTTTATGTTTTAGTCAGTTTGGAAACCTAGATGGGAGAATAAAAGAAAACATCCAAAACCTGGTTGAGAGAATGTCATTTTGAATTGTCTATACAAGTGCATCACGACCTGTATTGCTTGGTCTCAGTCAACAAGAACTTCTTTCATTTTATAATGATAGTAAGATCCTTTCAATATCATAGTTATAGACAATATTTAACAATAGGCTTTTTAAAATGTCATCTTAATCTTTTAAACATTTAAAATTAAAAGCATTTTATTATACCAACAAGATGTTATCCTGGTAAAAAACATGAACTTCTTATATTTAATATCTTGATGACTGTGGAGTTTAAAACAGTCTTTGGCTAAAAGTGTCACTGAGACTTTAAACTCAATATTTTTAACAGTTATAATCCACGTTTCGTTAGTATTTAGTGAGGGTCTAACACTTGTCAATAGCTTTAAAAGGTCCAGCAAAATAAAACCTGGGTCCTATTCTCAAGGAACTGAAAGTATTTACAAAGACAAACTCGTTTTCTTCGGCAAATTTTCTTCTGGTTTTTTTTTTTTTTAATTGAAATTTGTTAATGGAAGGGATGCTATAGAAACTCTGGTTGGTCATTCATAAGAAAAGTCCTGAATATCTACTTCTGAAAGATTGATCATTGGAAATCCCAGGGTGCACAGTTCTACTCTGATGTCCTTGGGTGGCGTGAGTTGTAATCAGCTTGACAGTAGTTAGTCTGATTTTGTTTTTTACCCCCAAATGGTAAAAAATGGAAGGTTTATAGTGCCTGGAGTTTTTTTTTTTCCATTTAGGTTACCCTTTAGTCTGTGACAGCCAGACAAAAGAAATCGCCCCCTCATTTCCAGAGAGTGATAAGGACGCCTCACAACTGGAGCAAGAATATGTCCACCAAGTGTATGAAGAAATTGCTAGGCATTTTAGCAGCACGAGACATACCCCTTGGCCAAACATTGTGGCGTTTTTAAAAGCTTTGCCAAGTGGGTCAGTAGTAGTTGATATTGGATGTGGAAATGGAAAGTACCTTGGCATCAATAATGAGGTACACATGGTAAGTAATTTTTGCTTCTAACTTCCTTTTTGCTTGATTTTCAATGACTGCCAACATCTTCCTCATGATATTGTGCTGTTTTTATAGGTCACTGCGGTAAAAAAACTTTCCAGTTCAACTGTTTTTTCCAAAAGGAATGGAAGTGTTCATTAATTGTCAAATTACAATCGTCTGCAATTTCAGTGCATAAAGAGAATGTGTGTCGTTGTGTATAAGGAAAATGAAGGGGCCTCATGCCCTCGAAGGTCCAGTCTTCACACGGTGGGATAGGGTTTGAGAGGACTCAGCATTAGCGGGGAGATTAAGTACGTAGAAGAGAAACGACTGAACAGAGCTTAAGGTTCTTCCATCTTTGTAGTCTCTCCCGCGCCACCAGGCCCTTTTAGGATCTGCTTCCTAATAAGATTATTTTCTCAGTAAAACGGTCTTATGATCTGAAAACTTTTTATGAATTAGAAAGA